ATACTTAGTAAGAAAGTATTGTTTCAAGGTCAGCGGTTTTCAGAGTTCAGAGTATCCAATTTATACAGGCTGGGTGTAGCCCAGGAGGGTCTCCCAACTCCGGGGTCCATCCACGGCTGATGAAATAATAACTATTTACCTGCCATCTGCCAGATTCGAACTCAGTACCTTCAGCTATGGAAGTCAATGCTAATCCACTGAGCTAACCCGTTTTCATACCTTTTAAATATGCATCATAAAAATTTCGAGACTTTTTGCGTTTTTGTTTGTATAGCCTAATCTTCACGGACGAATTAAAATTGAAAATTCATGTAAGTATCCATTTGGTTTAACTATGGTTTATTATACTCTAAAGATGCGTTTAGACGTTTCACAAACTATGGGAAACACAAAGATTTAATTGTTTTTAGGTTAGCTTAGCACTAATGACACTATTAGTTAAGTTAGATAGTTGTTTTTCCTATCGTTTATAAAATGTCAAAACGAACCTTTCCTAATTATTTACAAGTGCTACTCCTTCGGCCATCTTGGTTGAATCCAGGTTATCCACAATGTTTCAGATAAGGTTTCCAAAATATAACACCAGAAAGCGCCACCATTGCGGAGGGGTACAGTGGCTTAATAATATTATTAAGCCACTGTAGGAGGGGTTTTCTTGTCAGCTCTTGTCCCCTCCACCTCACCTCCATTTTAAGTAAATATAGAAATTAGATCGTTTAGGTTACATATTACCCGCCTTTTTTTAAAGTTAGTATTCTTTCTCCGCCATTTTCACTTCATAGGAAATAAATATCGATTGAACACCCGTTCCAATTTCCATCTTCTCAACATAATATTATTTATGCTTATAGTTTTTATATATATTCTGTCAAACCAACAGATTTTCAGTCTAATGGGCTACATACTGTCATAAACAATCTGTTTCATTGAAAGAACTTTATTAACTTAAATTTTGTTTTAACTTAATTTATTATAACTTGAGTTAGAACCTGACGATGGAGCACATTAGATTAAAGGTAATTACAAATTAAATGTAACAACCCAATTCTGACATGTATTGTAACATGGACTATATTTTAACTAAAAAAAAAAAAAAATGTTAGCCATATATCAACAAAAAATCATTGGGATTGTAGTTCTGAAGATGGGAGTAAATATCCCGAAACGTTAACATGTAAAAATGTAATTTTGGAAATACAACAAATAAATTCAATTTGTTGTTAATTGGAAGTCATCATTGACAAATAACAAAGAATAATATACAACTTCCCAGAAAAAAGATGATTTCAATATGGATAGTGGCAATCACCATATTATAAAATGTTTTAGAAACTTGTTAAAGTATATAGCTTGCTGCATGATAGAAAGTAAGTTAATTTGTAAACTGATTAATAATTGGGCTTGTAATAAATCATAAATATACTATCTCAGACAAAACATCAAGAATAACTACATACCACAATATATTTACTTCAAAATGCAACACCTGGACAACCCATTCAATAAGAAATTTTTAATCAACAACAACCTCACCAATTTTTTCACAAATTTAAGTAAAAACATGGTAAACTTGACACAGCGTTGAGCAACTCGAATCTTTCTGGAGGCCGCTGATGGAGAGAGCATCATGTCCCAATGTGCCGGATACACCAATTCCTTACCAAAAATTGTTTATATTATGGCTGCCAGTTACAGTTGATGAAATAAAATTAAATGCTATGGACAAGAAATCTTCAGCGGGACCAGATGGTATCACTATTAAGCAGTGGGAGTCTGTTGCCCCCTTACATAGTGCCATCTTTTATAATATATATCTGTCCAATCCACCCCACTTACCAAAATTAACTGCGGCCCGGACTCTATTTATTCCGAAAACTGATGATCCCGCTGGTCCAAGTGAATATAGACCCATCACTGTTGCTTCAGTCCCTCTTAGACAACTGCACAAGATAATTGCAACTCGTCTAAAAGAAATGGACTTGCACCATGTAAACCAGCGAGCGTTTATTGTTTCTGATGGCACTGCAGAAAATATATTATCCTTACAATCACTAATGGATGACTCTAAAAGGAGAAAAAAGGCAATCCATGTAACTTTTATGGATATTGCCAAGGCTTTCGATAATGTGAGCCACAATGCACTTTAAAAAATCTTGGAATGGAAGGGTATGCCACCTGGACTTATTGGTTATTTGAAGGGGCTATATAGGAAATGTTACACCCGCATTACAGATAATAAGCAGCAGACGGATCCTATTGTATGTGGAAGAGGTATAAGGCAGCGTGACCCATTGTCCCCTAGTCTCTTTAACATGGCAATGGATTGGGTAATCCATTCCCTTCCAGATGGAATAGGCTACGATATGTTAGGAACAATGGTTAACTGCCTGGCATTTGCAGACGACCTAGTTTTAATCACATCCTCATCCAATGGCATGAAAAGACTACTATCGGACGCAGCTGCAGCTATCCAAATGGTGGGAATGGAATCCAACCCAGCCAAATGCTTTAGCTTCTCACTAGTCAAGACCGTCAAATCTAATGCGATGAAGGTCGATAGCAAATATCATTTCGCAGTAAATGGTCGTAGAATCAAGCAGTTAGGTATCTTGGATTGCTGGAAATACCTAGGAGCGAAATTTACCTTGAATAACAAGAATGCCGTAGGGGTTATCGATGAATTATCATTACTGCTGCACAAAACAAACCTAGTACCCCTAAAACCTCAACAAAAATTAATTACTTTAAGGACGCATCTCATCCCAAAATTCATTCATCTCCTCACATTGAGTCCAAGCAAAATGGATGAGTTGAGAAAGTTAGATGTTTCAACGAGAGCGGCTATACGTTCTTGGCTGAGACTGCCTCAAGATACCCCTACTCAATATTTCCACTCTGCTTGTACAGATGGTGGTTTGGGAGTAATGAGCTTTAGCGGTGCTATACCCTCACTGAAGCTCGCTAGGTTGCGACGTATGGAGTACTCTGGTTGCCCAGTAGCAAGAGCCGCCTATCACTCCTCCTATATTACTAACGAAATGATAAAACTCGCAACCAACCTCACGAAAATGGGCCTCAACTCGGAAAACACTTCGAGTGAAGAACGGAAGAAAAATCTGTCCACGAAGTTGTATCGGAGCGTTGCTGGTAAGGCATTAAGGGAGTAAAAAAACTGCCACCCATCAACTCATTGGTTGACAGACTACGCGGCTCCGGTAACCGGACGGACCTTCATACAGACGGTAAGAACCCACATAAATGCCCTCGCAACCCGAGTGAGATTATCCAGAGGACGTAGGGCCTTTATGCCGACCCAATGTAAAGCTGGGTGACCTGCAAGCGAAACTGCCAGCCACATTATACAACACTGCATCTTGTCTCACGGTGGCAGAGTGCGGCGGCATGATACAGTTTTGAACATGTTGGAAACTGCTCTCCATAAGAAAGGATACAGGGTCACAAAGGAGCAAATGTTTATTGGCAATAGACGAAGGTGGAAGCCAGACCTGGTGTGCTCAGGACCAAGCGGAAGCTTCATTATCGACGCACAGATTGTCGGAGATAACCCTAGCACCACCCACTGGAACAATGTCAAAGCCAATAAATATAGAGACCTAGATTGTAGGATAGCGATCGGGCGTACACTGGGAGTGCCAGGCGTGGACATAAAATTACTCCCGCTCACAATAACTTGGAGAGGAATAAGGTGTCGACGATCTTTCCATGACATGGATATGTTGGGCATTCCCAAGAGAACGATGAACGCCATTACAATGAGAGTCCTTAAAGGTTCCCACATGAACTACAGTAATTGGTTCATACTGCTTCCTTGATTATAGCGCGATAATCAATGATTTTATTGTTACCATAAATTACGTTTTTACGTGTTTCTTTTTTTGTATTTATCTATTTGTTTATTTTATTTTATTTATTTATTTTGTTATTTCTATTTATTTATTTTTTTTATTTATTTATGTGTTATGATATTACTTACTTTTTATTTATATTGTGAAAGGGTTATTACTTCCGTAGTTTTTAAAAATTACTTTATATATAGTGTATATTTTATGTATGTATATGAATACATTTATATATTTTTTCTTTTATATTTTTATCGACGCAGCTGCAATTTGTATGTAAATGCAATGCTCAGTATATTATAACTTAATGTTAGTATGTTCTCTTATATGATTCTTGGATTCCAATATCCAAGATAAAACGTTACGATGGTGAAGGAAGCACTAAAATAAATTAGAAATTGAGAAAGTTGCTGTAATTTTGTTATGTTGGGAAATGTATGAAATATGTACCACCAAACAAATAAATTAAAATTATCTGAAACATTGTGGATAACCTTGATTCAACCAAGATGGCCGAAGGAGTACCACTTGTAAATAATTACCTAAATAACATAGAAAGTATAAAGTTTGCTTAATCAATATACTAAAGAGACAAAAAAAAAAAAAAAATGCTCCTAATATATATTGTAAAAGTTATATTTGGTAATTATTTGTAATGAATGTAAAGTGGAGGGGTCCAGGGCTGAGAAGACTACCCCTCCGCAATAGTGGCGCTTCCTGGTGGTGTGCTTTGTAAACTTTATCTGAAACATCGTGGATAAGCTGAATTCAACAAAGATGGCCGAAGGAGTAGCACTTATAAATAATTAACGAAAGTTTGCTTAATGGATATACTGAAGAGACAAAAAAAATCGACTAGTTAAAAAAAAAAAATGCTCGTAATATATATTGTAAAGGTTATTTGGTAATTATTTGTAATGAACATAAGGTGGAGGGGTCAAGGTCTGACAAGACTAACCCTCCACAATAGTGGCCCAATAGTGGCGCTTCCTGGTGATACCTTTTGTAACATGGTGGATAACCTAAAATCAACCAAAATGGAAGGAGTAGTGCTTGTAAATAATTATTGAACCTTTAAACTTATTTTTATCCACTACTAATATAAAACTCAACTAAACTATTAAATTTTATTGATTTCAGTGGGAAAATAAAACAGATGATGTGAGCATTGGCTACTTGATCTACAAGTGGTTTCATTTCATTATAATAGTCTCTGCTATTCTTTTATCATTGCTCAACAATGAAGAAGGGCATCCTGCAAGATGGCCAATTTACCTTACAAACTGGGCTCTAATTCTTTATTTTGTTCAAGCACTTCTCGGCACCTTTATTGTGACCAATGCATATTACTGTATTCGGAAAGGTACATATTTTTTTATTTTGTTTATTTGATAAATCTTTATTCATATATCTAGATAGCATTAACAAAAATAAAAGACATTAAAAAAATAATAATAATAATGGATGATCATCTCACTACATTACACTACCACATTGCATGTCGGTGCTTTCCAAACTTCAGACAAAAATTCTTAAATGATTAATTTTAAAACAATAAGAAATATTGAAAAAAAATTCTTTAGTTTTCAAAAATATTTAAATGAAAGTGTTTGTTTAAAAATTTTACTCTGTATTCAAATGTTTATTATCAATTTAAAATATGATGTTGCACAACATAAATGATATTTATACTTATATATTCCTATCTTTGTCTGATTTTACTTGATGAAACCTGTGACGGTAGTCAGGTACTTTTTCCCTTAAGGCTTGTCAAAGTATGTTCTATTTTGCCAGTATATTACTAAGCATCTTAAGTTGTTGATTGCTATCTTGTTGAAATTGAATCTGAAAAACAAAATTTTATATGAAATTTATAATGATTAACTTAAATCTTGAAATTCTATATCAATGGTTACATAAATTTTGAAATGGTTTATACTTGGACTAAATAATTTAAAATGCTACTACAGTACATAGTAGATATTATCTGTATCCTTTTTTAGTAAGAATTCAGTGTAAACCATATGGTTTCTGATTATTATTATTCTAATTTCATCATCAACAAATGTAATGAAGGTAGTAAAGCTCTTGTTAATATAGATTCCAGATACTATCCATTGGCCAGAAATGAGCACTGAGTTCTGGTACATCCCTTCATGTGTTGTTCCATAATGCTAGTGCATAATAACTACTTAAATACTCTAGGAAAAGCTAAGTGTTTAAACCAGTAATGCAATGTAAACTGTGTTCCACAAATGTATAACCACTCAGTCTTGACAAAAACATAAATAAATAAAATAGCTCATTGAAAGAATTTTATTTTCATGGACAATATTTTGATTCTTTTATAACATTAGGTTGCTATCATCTATGTTTCGTTAATTCTATTCTGAATAATTGTCAATTATTCATGAAGACAAATGAAATTTATGCAGATAAAAGTTTTTTTTTTTTAATACCTATGTTTAGAAAGATAAATTTATCAGTTTTTTTTTTTTATCATTGTTTATACAATATTTGGTGTTTGCAGGAAAATCATTGGAACTATCTGGGAAATTCATGCAAATTTATGGAGCATTACAGTCCACAGCCATTGTAACTGCATTCGGTGTAACATTTGTGTATTGGTATTTCGTTCATAACCCTGGTGAATATTAATTTATATAAATACTATATTACGTATTCATTATTTTACTTGATATGGTAAATAGTTCAAATAAATAATTGAAACCTATTATATTTAAAAGTTAGTATTTTATAAAGATTAATTGAATATATCACACCATAACTAGAGACCATCCTTTACGACCTGAGCCCTTCCTACTCTAATATTGCTCTTTTCGGAGATTTCAATACCATCCTATTATTTCCTTCCTCTAACCAAGCCTATTTATCAACCCTCCTCTACTCTCTTAATCTGTATATAGTCCCGTACAACCCTACCCATCACACTCAATACCCAGACTCTTGGTTTCATCTTTGCATTATTGACTCTCCTGATAAACTTCTATCTTCATCACAGCACCCAGTTCCTTTTTTGTCTGCTCATGATCTCATACAAGTCTCCTACAACCTTCCTGTTCCTCTATTCTGTCCCCGATCTATATCTTTCAGAAATCTTAATCTCCTATCATCCGAAACTTTGACGCCCGATCTTGACGTAATTCAATGGGACTCCATATACTCCTCTAACTCCGTTGATTTTATGGTAGAACCTTAACCAACCAACTGCACATTATCAATCGAACACACTCCAGCCCCTTGGTTGACACCTGTAATAAAATATTGTATCAAACGAAGAGACGCAGCAAGAGGAAGGTTTAAGCGCACTCGACTCCCCGAATACGACACGAATTTCAATCTGCTCAAAATAGTACGCAATCCGTGATATGCCGTGCCAAATCCCACTACTAGCAACAATCCTTATCCAACACTCCAGATTCCAAAGCTATATTGGCAATCCTCCGTAAATTATCCTTACGCAAACCCACCCAAACCTAGACTACCTCTATTTCTGCTGACATACTCAACACTCATTTTGTCTCCTGTTCATCCTATCCCTCTGTCCAAGCACCAGCTCCACTCCTCATAAATCCCCTCTTTAATCCCAATATTTTTTTCTTTTCGCATATTACCCCTGATGACCTCCTTAAATCCATTTGTACATCCCAAACCAAAGATTTCGGACCATATAATATCCCAGTTAAATTAATTAAATCCTCATTTCCATCCATTTTCCCAATCCTTTATCATATCTATAGTTTTTCACTACAAAGTTCCACTTTTCCCAGCACCTTGAAAACCGCTCTTGTTCATCCACTGAACAAAATCTCAAATCCCACAACCCCTAATGATTTCCGTCCAATTCCCCTGTTATCTAAACTTTTCAAACCTTTAGAACGAATAGTACAATCCCAACTATTCCAATATCTCGAACAAAATAACCATTTGAACTGCTTCCAGTCTGGTTTTAGACCTGACTACTTCATTCATTCCGCCCTCATTAAAATCTCCCAAGATCTCCACACAGCCATAGACCAACAGAAACTCACCATCCTGATCCTTCTAGATTTCTCTAAAGCATTCGACTCAGTTGACCATAATATCCTCCTTACCAAACTTAAAAATATTTCCTTATCATCTAGTGCCCTTAAGTGGTTCCAATCCTTTCTCACTGATTGCTCCCAGTACGTTGTAGTTCCTAATAACCCTCAATCAATGTCTCTACCTCTGTCCAGCGGCGTCTCACAAGGTTCCTCTTTATCCCCCATCATCTTTTCCATCTACATTAATGACTTCCCTTCCTCTTTCATGCACTGTCAATATCATCTATATGCCGATGACATCCAAATTTATCTTTCCTTTAACCCGACGGATTCCTCTAATGCCATCCTGAAACTGCAACAAGACATCAATAGAATATGCGCATGGGTGAATCTTAATAAGCTGACATTAAATACGGAAAAGACAAAAGCCATCCTGATCGGATCCCCCTCACTCCTCAAATCCATTTCAGCATCTCCTAATCTTCTTCTGAACAACTCACCTATCTCCTTCCATACCACCATTAAAAACCTTGGCGTTACCCTCAATTAAACCCTCTCCTGGAAACTGCACATCTCCCAAATTTACCGCTATACTATATCCACCCTGAAACAGTTTAACCATCTACGTTATCTTCTTCCGTTCAAAACCGATCAACTCCTGGTCTCCTCTCTTGTTTTCCCCCACTTTGACTATAGCTGCATGGCGTATGGTGGACTCTCGGGAGAACTTGAAGCTAAACTTAAACATCTAATGAATTGCTCCATCCACTTTATCTTCTGGATCTCAAGGGATACTCATATTACCCAGTTTTACACCAAGTTGAAGTGGCTTTATCCGTCCTACCACCGTAAATATTTCCTAGCTACCTTCCTTAGAACACGGTGACCCGCCTATATTCTACAGATCCTACAATTCAAACGCTCCTTTCAATCCCGTCCCACCAAATCCTGTGCATCCAACCTCTACCTTCCTCCTCACTGAACTGCTGCGTTTGATAAATCCTTTTTAATTCAAGTTGTCTCCCTCTGGAACTCTATACTCTCAGATATTCGTAACGCAAAATCAATATCTTCTTTCAAATCTCTCCTCTATAAACACCTACTCCACTCCCAATCCGATTGATCATGAAATACATTTTAAAACCTAAGCTGTAAGAATCTCAAAGTACACCCAGATACTTTGATTATTTTGTTAATCATAGATATTTTGTTCTCTTAATTTACTTTCTCTGTTTATTTTATATTTATACACGTTTTTATATATTTTTATTATCTATAATTTTATTGTATTCCTTATCATCATTTGTAACTTGTTCTAAAGGGACACTAATCCCAGAATAATAAAATTATTTTCATTCATTCATAACTACTTTTCACAAAATATTTTTTTTTTATCATAAATCTGTTTAAAAATGTATATACATATATATGAGAGTTATATTAAAGGAGAAAAGAGAAATATATTAATTGTCAAAATATAATTGAAAAAACTGCAGGTAAGCAATTAACCTGTCAACTTTTTCACCAATCAGGTAACATATTCTACCTGTTCGGCATTTAATTGTCTTGGGATGATGTACACTTATTCCGTCTTGGAATGATGTACTATCTCTCATTCACATGTCTTTTTTGTACTGGTGAAGTGATATGTGTTTTTTTGGACAGCAAAAGTGTGATTTTAGTTATTTCTAACACAATCTGAATTGTCAAAAAATTGTTTTCCTACACACCATAAAAATGGAGTAGTCATTTACATGGTGTTATTTAGAGACTCAAGTCTTTGTGTTTGGAATTGTCCAGTTATATTCTGACAGCTATTATGTACATATGTACATTTTTTTGAATTTCTTATTAACAATGGTAAAATATTTCTTAATGTCATAGATATAATTGCCTGTGGAAAACATCATGTGTTTTTAATAAGGATAGCAACAAGAGCAAAGGGAAAAAATTGCCTTCAGGCTTTTAATTGTTTTAGATGAAAAATTATTTAAAGTGTTTTCTCATGAGTTTTACAAATATATATGTAAATCTAGTTTTTAATTTAAAGAAAAAACATTTACATTATCTTATAATTTATTTTATTATTATGAATTAGTTTAGCCAGTAATTGATTAACTAAAAATAGTAATACTTTTCTAATATATTACAAATTTTTTTTTTCATTTTTAGAAATCCATAAAATGAATGTAGTTAATATATCCTCTCATATTTGTAATTCAATCATAATGCTGATCGATCTGATTATGGTTGCTCATCCTGTAAAGCTGGTTGACATTGTTTTTCCATTGTTTTATTCATTATTATACACTGGATTTAACATTATATATTTCCTGTGTGGTGGAACTGACAGGTTTGTGAACTCCGTTTAATCTGAAATTGAGTTATTAATACCATTGCAAGTTTCTCTTTTTTTAAATATATATATTTGCTAAATTTTGGTTTTGTAATAATTTTCAGGAAAGGAAATCCTTATGTTTACAAGGTTCTGGATTGGAGGAGACCAGTCCATGCAATTTCATTTGTTCATGGAGGATTATTGCTTCTCATATTCATATTTTTTGTGGTATGGCTTGTATCTCTGCTAAGGAGATCAATAAGCAATCGATTCGAAGCCACCCATGACTTGGTTCCACAACAAGAACCACCTTTCGAGCTCTCTATCGCTTAACCTAATTATTTATTTTGAGGAAATTATATCATGATTTTGGACTTGATTTATTGTTTTCAATCTCTGATTTAAATAATTCTTTAAACAGAATTATTTTATGTCCAGAATGGAAAAAAAAGGATACCATTTAGCAATGTTCGTGTCAAAAGTTAAATGGAAATTATATATAAATATGGCATTGTGACATCTATGTCATCAAAATTACCAAATTAGAATATAATCTTGTGACTTGTAAGTATATTTAAAAAAATATATTTGAAGAACTTTCATAGACTATGGTTTTCTATGAAAAGGGCAACTTTATATTCGACAAGAATTCTAATGTCATAAAAGTGGTTGATAGATTTAGAAAAATGGAACAAAAAAATAACCAAATAAGTGAAAAAAAAAATACTTTCACTCTAATTATTTAGTACAAAGTATCCTCCCTGCTGTCCAATGGTGGTAGTAACTTGAACATAATAACTATTATAGCTTTTTGTAATAATTGATATGTTCAAACAATAAATTATTATTCTTAAAATGAAGAAATTTCATGTTATTTTTTTTTATTGAGGATACGTAATTATATTTTGGTCAAATTAAATGTCAAATAAATTTTATTTATTAATCTTTTGTTATTTATTTACTGAATTTTGCACATATCATATTTATTTATACTACAAACTTATTTATTTAAATGAAATTTATTAAAAGATTGATTTTTTATTTATTATTATTATTTTTATGAAATCCTTTGTGGGTTATTTTTTTACTATAATCATTCAAAATATAATGCTTTTAGTTATCATGTACCTAAATCTGAAAAAAAATAAAAGTCCATACAATACCATCATCACAACTAAAGTTTTGCCAATCTCAATGAAAACTTAGTTCCTTTTAACTAATGAAATTTAAAATGAAGTCACAATATTGAATTATACTTGCAGCTCTTAATGAGTTTCTTCAAAACAGACAGATATGATTTAGAAACATGTTGGGGTTCAGTTTGTCCAGAAACGTGCGCCAGAGAATTTGTCCACATTTAAGATAATTTTGAAAATGATTTTTTTGAATCATGTTCAGCAACAGCTATTTCCTCATAATATATATGAATACAATTTAAATAATTATTCTATATTTGCTTCGATCATAATAGAGCTCTTGAAAATAAATATTGCTTCTAACCATAATGTATATAAGTCTCAATTTAATTTATGTTCATTTACTTTAATTAGAGATAAATAGTGCTAAAATACCAGGTTTTGAAAAGGGGGGGGGGACTGGTTAAGATAAAGTGGACTTGAGCTTGATAACTGTTTTTTTAATTTTTATCTAGAGTTCGGATCACATTATTCCACTTTGGAAGTAACCAGTAGTTTTTGTGTTTTAAAATTTTTTTTTCTAAGGCACTATGAAAATTATTTTCATTCTAACTAAAATAAATTGAAATTGAAGACTGAATGTTTGGAGAAAAACAAACCTAGATTAAATAAAAAACACCAAACCCTATTTCCTCAATTTTGATCTGATTGATTTTAGCCTAAACAAATCGGCTTCACTCACATCAATAAACAGTAAAAGATTTATTTTTTATTTATTATAATACTTCAACAGGTAGAAGCTTGAGCTTTATTAAATTGAAAATCGAAACCAAATTTTTATAAATTATAATGTAGATGAATTTGAAAATAGCAACTACCTATGTATTTTATCTTTATTTTTCTACATTTCATATTGTTTGTGTACACTTAAGTCTATTTTTGTTCCTATTGGTTTTGGAAGAAACCAAGAAAAATAAATATTTCCTTTTTTAATTATGTAATGTTCCTAATAATTTTCTCGAAAAGAGAAAAGTTTTATTTCATTTATTTTTGTTAATGTAAAAATGTTTTTGATAAAAAGAAAAATGTTAATTATACTTATTTATGTATTTTTTAATTAATTATACTCATTTTGCATACACATTATTTTATTTAACCTCTTATCTTATCTTATCTAAACACCTCATCTATTATATTATTATCATAATTTTGGAATTGATTTAGTTTTCTATTATTCACTTAACCATCACGATAATTAGTCATAGTATCACATTAAATAATTTAAATATTTTAACACTTTTTATAGCATATTATCAAATTTATTAGAAAATCTGATCTCAGTAGTTACTAATAGGGTGAAAATAATGCCAATTATAGAGCCTGTTATAAAGGTAATTTTATATTATTATTTAAATATAACAACACCAGACCTTTAAGACGTAAATGATGCCTTAACATGATTTTTTTTTTGTATTGTTCTAAATTCAGTTTATAATAAAAAGTATTTATTTCCGTAAATAATTGTGCTTTATCAATATATTGAATAACTGTCAATATTATCTTGCAAATTAAACTTCAAATTTATCAGTAAATTTTCATAAAATTTGTAATAATAATAGTGATAAGTTTAAGGAGCTTATAGGAAAAACATACTAAAATAGAACATTGTCACTGATAAAATAGATGTAATAACTAGAATCATAGCCATAGCTGTCCCAAATGATCTCAAATTACGAAGTTATGGGTCTAAAAGAAAATAAGTAAGTACCAGGAGCTTGTCCAGAACTAAAAGTGCTTTATAACCAAGAGATAGAATTAATGCCTCCTATAATTATTTCATAAAATGGTCTCAGATCGAAACACACAAGAAGGAACGAAGATTTTGTCCTTGGTCTACAGAGCTTGAAAATAGCCTAAACAACCTACTTTCGTCCTAGTCCTACTTGATACATGGAGGATTGTGAGACAATTCCAAAATAAATAAAATAACACACCACCTCTATATTCCCTTGAATTATCTTCCAGGAAGTAGCTATGGCTCAGACAAAATTTTGAGGAGACCAAATAAACTAATAATTATAATGTTAAGATACTTACTGAAGAAAATCGGAAACAACAACAAGGGCGATCCTAAAATTCCCTATCGTCCTCTTTTGGGATTGACAAAGATGCTTCCATCAAGAAGCTTACCATCAAAACAGCGTGACCATACTCATTAATACAAATACAAAAAAAAACAGGTGCACTCAACTCAACTTTCACTTACTTCAACTTTGAATAGAAATTATTTTCTGGCAATGTTGGGCTATTATACAATATTTGAATTGCATTTTTAACCTAGCTAAAGCTAAAAGATTACAGCTAACAAATCTAAAATAACAAAAGTCCTATGTATTATATCACCGGTTGATTATGGATTGTACGATCCGTTGATTATGGATTGTACGATCCGTTGATTATGGATTGTACGATCCGTTGATTATGGATTGTACGATCCGTTGATTATGGATTGTACGATCCGTTGATTATGGATTGTACGATCCGTTGATTATGGATTGTACGATCCGTTGAATATGGATTGTACGATCCTTTGATTATGGATTGTACGATCCGTTGATTGTGGATTGTACGATCCATTGATTAAGGATTGTATGACTATTAGTTATTTTACATTGCAAAGTTTACTAAAACGGAATTAAGAGATTCGCATTGTCTGTCATAGACAGGTCAAAAGTTATCACAATAATTGTAAGCGGATACTGTTGGAATATCGCAAAGTGAAAATTTATCAAATTATTCACTAAATTATTTTTTTTTTAAGTTTACACTTAGTAAGGAAATTTCATTTAATTTCCTTGAAAACACGCGATTTCCGTTAAATAATGTTAGTTTTAAGAGATTATTATTTATAATTTTTTCGCCTCTCTCCGTTACCTTATAAAACTTTCTATATTAGATATTGTTTTATTCTAAAATTATTCGCTTTCCCACGGTATATTATACGTATACCTTCTGTCTATTATTTCCAAATATTCATTTTCAACCTGCATAAGTAATTTTCCTTTTTTCTCCTTTATTTAATTATCAATTTCTTCCAAAAGTTATATTTAGCATTTTTCTATAACTCCTAACAATAATGAATAGTTATTATTTATAATAAACAAAATTAAAGGTACTTTAGAGGAAAACATTATGATGTTGGGATTTCACAAAGGGAAAATTCATTAAATTATTCACTAATTTAATTTTCTAAAATGTTATATGACATTTTTTTCGGAATAAACGTTGATAACTAATTATTTAAATATAATATCAGTTCTATAATCACTAAACTACAGTAAATGTATTTAAGGTTATAAGCATATGCTTTACACATCCATGAAATGATTTTATATTTTACTTCTTCTTTGACACAAGTACAATGAAATAGGTTTTTCAACAATGTCAAAATTTGTTTGGCATAACTACTGCATTTCTCTATAGAAATCTTGATGAAAAATTACATATGGACTTACCTAAAGGTTTCGAAGATTAACAAGGGAAGGTATATTTGCTGAACAAATCTATCTCTGGACTTAAACAAGCACCACTAAATTGGAATATTCGAATTTTTTGAAGGACCGGGATTTGGTTCAACTAACAACAGAACTCATAGTCTGTGGGCCAGACCCCCTTACCGTGCACCCCCCCCCCCACATCCCTTTTTCTTTGTTTGTGGACTTCTCTATAACCTACCTTAAAGTGAAGACAGTCCCAATTTGCAACTTATGTTCCAATGTGCAACTTGAGTTTCTCAATCCTTATCGCTCCGACAATCGACAATATTTCTAATTTTAGCTTCTACGATTCTTGAGTAGACTTTCTTTGGTACTATAAACAGTAAGTAATCTCGAATAACATTTCCTAGTATCTCATTTCCTGTAAGGGGACAAAACTACAGTCCTTCCAGCTGACTTGCCAATTGCTTAGAACAAATCTTTCTTGCTGATGAAATGGTCTTCACCATAATAAACCTGCTTAATATCATCCAAACTGATCAAGCATTTTGACCCTCTTTTAGCAGCATCTTGAAATATTCTGTTCATCTGTCTACTATATATTCGTTTAGCCATATAACGGATACGGATCCTTGTTTTCTTTTCCGAAATTTTGGCACTTCCTTTGTCGTTCGCTTAATCTATTTTTCCAATGTTTGGGTTCAATTTCGCGTTTTCCCTCATTTTGAGACCAAAAACTAACAATCAGTTCCAGTTACCTAGAAGAACTTATAGCTTCGCCCTTTCCATCCTTATTTTGTGCAGAGGGAATATTGCATTTAATATTAAAAGTTCATATTTTTATGATATGGTCCAACTTCCGAATAAAATTAAGGAAATAAAAATGATTTTTTTAATGGCGATATATGAATTTTACTAAACAATCCATCACCTATTCATTAAAAGTAGTTCAAATTAGGTATATATTATTTAGTTTATAAAACAGATATTAATATGACTCGTTTCGGGGGAAGTATATACAATTTAAATTACCTCTAAGAATCAGTAAATATATAAAACAAAATGTTAAATTGCAAATATTAAATAAAAAATTCAAGATATTCTGCAACGTATTTTTGAATTAGTTTTATTATTATAATTATATAATTTTTATAATAGAGGCCTCCTTAAGCGACCTCCGTATAGAATAAAGGAAGATAAATTTAAAAAAATAAATTATAATAAAAAAAATATAATAAATTAAAAAAAAAATTTTTTTGACAATTAAATTATTGTATTAATATTTATTCGTTAACACAATCAATATAATATAACAAAAACGTTATTATAGCACTATAACTAAGCCATTTATGAGTACTGAGTGGTGTGGTAGAGGCCTCAAGGCACCTACGCCAGTAGCGCTTTCCTGCCGCTTAAGTACATTTTCTACAGAACTACTTCAAATATTTTGAAAAGTAATCAGTGTTTTAGAAAGAGAAATGTATTCTCCGGATGTTTTATTTCAGAACGTTTTGCATTATTGTTGACCGTTTAATTACAAACGGCGCCTGATTTTCAACTTGAAAATGTTTTTGTAAAAAAAATTGACTTTACCGATTTTTTTTAATGCCTAAGCCAATTAGTT